AAGCCCCCCCCCCGAAGAAATGGCAAGTTGGAAACATTGTGGATTACTATTTTATCCGCAGCATGTCGCTGTTAGCAGGCTTGTTACCTGTTCTAGTTCATTCAGAATATCAACGGAGAGATTAGTGACGTTGGTAGTGACGTGCTTAATTCATTTAAGAAGTAATGACCCTTCATTAGTTGATAAAGGCAGAATAACGAGTAGACACAAAAGTTCACATAACTGAGAGGTAGAAATGCTGTTCAGGAAAGGTAATTGGTTCTTTTTTCCAACTATTAAGTGAATATTCTAATTTTAAAAGCCAACTAATTTAATCAAGGCATCATTAAGACCGCGGTGTGGTGTAAGACAAAAGCCCCACTCAAAGCGTCCAAGTTCAGTTGTGAAATGTGGCCATCCAGGACAGCTTGCTTTCTCCTTTTTGAGAGACCAGGAGTTGTAATTACAAGCGTGGGCGCGGGTGAATCAAACAACTTGCCATTTGCTGCTGATACAAATAGCACAGTATTAAGGCAGATAGTATTGCAGGAAAATAAAAGGAGACCGGGCTGGCCATTTCTGGCTTATTAACGGTCGTCAGCCAGTCACACTCAACACCAAGTGGTGTACCAACCAGGACTCGAACTCGCGAGCGGAAGTATACGAATAATGTTACGTCACTAACCATTCCTCAAAAACCTGTCGAAAAGGGTCATGCTTAAAAACCCTGTTTATCACGTTAGCTAGTGGAGATAGCAAAACACGAAATATATCCTTTCGAATAAATAGCAACCAACCGTTTGAAAATGTTGAAGACGCCGTTATCGGTGATCTGAGAGCACTGAGACAGGTATAATTCTCTCAGGTATCCAATAAAGGCACTCTCGGTGATGATCTTCACGCCCGCATCTGTCAGATTGGCACACCGCGAGAGATTCAAGCAGGTGATTTGCGGCAAACCAACAATCCTTTCCAGCAACTTGCCCGTAATCTTAAGGGGAAGAGACATTTGATTTTTAAAATTGAAACTATATGAACTACCGAGGGATACAAGTTCATTATCCCAGCTGGATCGATGGGTGGTGTGTAGAAAACCGGAAGATTATAAGTAATTCAATCTACTGAACATTTGTAAGTAGTTTGTTATTATAGATATGAAAATATAAGACCCCACGACATAATCTCACCCCAAACTGTTATAACCTTGGGTGTGCCTGCGTCGACACTGGTTATATCTCCCCGTCGTATTTTAGGAAAGGAAGGCAGGCAGGATAGCAGATAATAGTTTACTATCACTATTTCTTCTTGTCCATCAACTCTGCTTTCTGTGTGTCCGGCAACTTGTCCTCCTGTGTAGCTCGGTCTTGTCTGCAGTTCAGTAGTGTCT